TCCACAGAAGAGCGCTGACCTCACCCCACACACCAACTACCTTTTCAGAGCTCTTCAGCCAATCACCTGGCAGAGAGCAACAAACTGCCAGGTGACACTTGTTACAAATAGTTTGATAGTGGCACATAAGCAAAAACACAGAAGATCTCAGTGCATCATGGGAAACATCCAGCAATCTGAGCGTATAGCAGCATAACTAAGGGTAAACCGATCCAGCCCTAACCTGCTTTTGGTAAAAAGGAAAGAAACAAAGAAAGGAAATGTTAAGTTTAATCCTAAAAGCAGAAAGTGTCTGTCTCCTGAATCCAAACTGGGAACAGGTTCCACAGGAGAGATGGGAGACTCCTATTCTGCTTTTAAATATTCTAGGAACCGCAAGTAAGCCTGCCGTCTGAGAGAAAAGTGCTCTACCAGAATAATATGCAACTATAAAATCTATATAGGACTATAAAGGACTCCTTGTTTACATAAGCAACTAGAATCTATTTGATAAATATGATTCAAAATAGTGCAGCAGAATGTCCTTGATACCAGCTGTTTCCTTTCTCCAACAGTATGACTGGTTCTTCAGTAACGAAGAGCTCGATAAAGAAGAGAAGGTACGAGCTCTTATCACCCAAATGAACAGAAAACACCATGAATGACTGTTTGCATTCAGATGTTGTCACTTCTTTTATGTCTGCTGGATATGTGTGTGTGTGTGTGTGTGTGTGTGACTGTAGGCCCCAGATGATAATTGGGACATGCAGCCTTTGCCCAACATTGACCATCTGCTGACCAACATTGGCAAGCCGGGCATGCCAAGAGAGGCATCAGGTGAGGAGTGGGGGCTGCTGCAAGAGTCCTTTAATGCTTCACCTACAGACAGATTCAATTGTACGCACATTGTGAAGCAGCTAGATTCTTGAGTAGCTCAAGAACAGTGGGTAGAGAGCTTGATGGGATGTGTTGTCATGGCCTAGCAGCTGCTTCCAAACCTTGCATGACCGAGCACAATGCAAAGTAATGGATGTACTCTAGAGCAGTAGAGACGGAGTAAAAAAACATGCTTCTATGTCTGGCAGCCCACTGGAAGAGTCTGGGTTTGGCAGTTGCCAGGAGAATGGTACTTGTCTGACTGCACTGTGCCAAATGTAAAGTTTGGTGGAGGAGGGATTATGGTGTGTGGTCCCTTAGATCCAGTGAAAAGAAGTCTTAATGCTTCAGCATTTTGCTCACTGCCTGGGACCCAACTGGCATTTGCTATAGAATACCAGAATTGATAGGTCGACCTGTACATTTCTCAGAGGGCAGCATCTTCACCTGGTCACTTTTGACAGGCATAAAATAGCCTGGAGACGACGTGGCCAACGTTATGCTGTGCGTAACATCACTCAGCATTACCAGTTTGGTCATGGGTCATAGTCAGGGGAGGCATATTCATGAAAGAACGCACAGACCTCTAGGCAAAGACTGGATAAAGGCACCCTGACTGCCATTAGGTATTCGGATAAATTCCTTAAACCTACTGTCAGACCCTTTTTGGTGCAATGGGTCCTGGTTTCTGCTGGTGCACAAAAATACCCTGCAAGAGTATGCAGGGGTTCAGACACTGACAACCTAATGCCACTACATTCAACACTAGCAACACAGAAATGTTGAAACATTAGTTCACTATCTCCTCACTGAACACAGACTCTTGCCAATTTATGGTTAATTCAACACTGCTTACATACAACTTGAAGAAAAGAGCGTCACTGCTTCAGTTGGAAAGTCTTAACTTTCCCTCATTCATAATTCTGTAGCCTCATCAATTGACAGCATTTTTCTTTCTCAGCAGACGTCTGTTCTGTTTGTGCTTGTAGATACTGACAATGTTTCCTACTTTTTCCTCTGTTCTCTTCTTCTGGGCCTTTCTGTGCTTTTTTCTAGCTGAGACAGTGGATCAACCTCTTCGGTAGGACCAGGTCTTCCTTCCTGTGTGTTTGCTCTTTCTTTGGAGTCATTTAACCATTTGTGCTCTTTCCACAACTATTGTTTTTTCCAACATCTCCACTTTGCCTTTTTGAATGCAGCTTGTGCTGTGATTTCTCTTTATTTACATGTTTTAATATTTTGTGACCATCCTAACATTACTACCATCCAGTGATGACATTAACTAACTTACTTTTTCCTTTCCATCAGGTTCCACCACCAGCGATTCTCTTAAGTTAAAGGTAGGTGCTAATTCTTGGAATAGGATATCACATTTTGCAATAGAAAAAACATAATTACAAATACTTACAAGTGGTAACCTTTCAGCTTCCCTCTGCATCCAAAAAAGACCCGAACACCAAGTCCATCATCGCTGCCGTCTCCCACAAACATAAAAAAAGTCCAAGTATCCACACGGTGAGCAGAAACACTGATGAGATTTCTGCGCACGAACCAGCCAAAGCCAGCAAATATGGTGAAGAAGGAGGGGTAGGGGAAAAAGAAGAAAGAGCAGAGCTAGATCAAGTCGAGGGAGAACAAACCATCCTAAAAACTGAAAAAAGGATAGAGGGAAAGATCTCACTTGTAGGAGGAGAAGAAGCTAAAGCAAAAGGAGCAGGCAGTGATGCAAAGATGTCAAAAAGGAGGAACAGCCAAAGAACCAACTTACCACCATCACAGCTTTATCCAAATAGAGGATCTGACTCAACCCGTCAGATCCACACCGCATGCTCAAAATCACCACCTCTCAGGAACCCTCCTTCCCATTTTAATCACAGTCTGGCCAGAAGATATCAGACCATTCCTTTCTGGGTATTACCCACCAGGTCACGCAACATCAGCAGCCAGAGTGGAACTGCTCAGCACCAGTCAGCACCAATCTGCTATCGGAAAACTAGAGGTGGGAGGACAAGGGCTGTGTCCATGAATCTTGACCTCGAGCTGGGCAGGAATGAGGATAGTGTAAGAGGATGTAGAGATGATAGGGTGAAGGTAGTCAGAATGACTGAGGGAGAGCCAGGTCCCAGGTCGCTACCTCACTGTGCACAGAAGGTTCCCTCTCTCATCTCCTCTTCATCAGGATGGATAGATCAGAGTTCCTCAGGACATCCCACTGTCATCCTAAGGAGATCAGGCCTAGACCTGCAGGACAAGTCGAGAGCATGGCGTCGCCACACAGTGGTAGTTTAACCAGTCTGTTTCATCCACACTAATGAATACCAAGCACTTGGCCTTTACTCACTAACACTGTGTCGCAGTTGTCCACAAGCAGGAAAACTGTCTCCAGAACATTCTATTGGAGATGTAATGTGTCATTGGAAAAAATGTCATTGTGTGCAACTGCAATGTCATTGCAAAGTGACAAAAATAATGCACGGTACTAGGATCTTTATCTTATTTTCACATACTGCACTTCCTCTCATCTGCTGCGGATTTTTCTCTCCTACAAACATGTTCAGAAATAAAACAGCTTAAAATAAAATCAAATATACACTTCTTCAAAAATGAGGAAAGAAATAGCACTCCTGACAACAACTGATGTCATAGACACTTCATATAAACCATATAAAAGATGGAGGCTAGCTACATTAGTGAGAAAGCTGCATTCATAATCTTGTGAACCAAAAAAAAGTCCACGCACATCTTCCTCTGTCAATGGAGCAGGTGCAGAGCTGAAGAAATGAGATGAAGAAGAAATAATGGTTTGCACACTACAGAACTCGAGATTCATTATTTATTGCATGCAATAAATAAATAAATAAATAATCATTTGGAATGAAAACCTACAACAGTATAAACGTAAAAGTGCTATGTGGTCATATACATTTGAGAGAAAACCACAGCAGACATTTGAAATTTAGCTGAAGAGCTGTTGCTACTCTAGTTAGAGCAAGTCACAGTGAAGGATTCATCTTTGTTTTCTCTGCAGACTCTGAAATACTTTAACTGGTTTTCCTTTTGCCTTCTGGTTTTGACTAATCACCACTCTCAGTCTCTCGCTATATGATTGGACTTTTTAGACTAAAAAATACTTGCATGGTCAAAACAAATACAAATATGCAAACCTTAAGTGTACAGTAAGACTATTGTGTTTCCCAGTGTGTGTGTGTGTGTGTGTGTGTGTTGCATGAGGAGGGCCAGAGCTATAATAAAACCTGTTTCGTCATACGTTTTCAGGGCAGCTATGTGAAGTCATGCCAATTTCTTTGTGTTTTTTTCTCTGTTTGTGTAATCATACAGTGTCAGCAGTGTGCAAACATGATAAATATTTGTTGTTTATCATATTGTGAACTCATACTTAATGTCAGTGTTACAGAGACAAGAAAGCAGCTAAAAGCAGCAAGCGAACCACGTCCTTAAATCCAAAACCACAGTCTCATCTGAGTGATGTTACCTTTTGTTCTTTTTCACAGCTTCAGTATTTTTTTGATTCCTTCCCAGAACTTGATTTTTGTAAAAACAAGTGTCAAGAATGAAAAATTGGAACGGTTAAAAAAAACGTGTGTGACCTAAACTGACATTAGCTGTGGTCAAACCAGACTCCATGTTTGTATATCTAGACTCCGTCTGTCTTCTCTGTCCGTGCCCTGGTGCATGTAACTCTGTACAACTGTTGCAAAATTGGTC